TGTGTGTGTGTGTGTGTGTGTGTGTGCGTGCGTGCGTGTGTGTGTGTGTATGCGTACTTGTGAGCTTGCCTGCTTCTCTATTCCATTATCAGCTGCGAACATAATCAGAAAACAACACTCACTACGTAACGCGAAAGCCAGTAACCGAACCCACCCGTGTGTCTGACAGATGCAAATACCGATAATAAGATTTTCCTTAATTAATTTAAATTAACAAAATTACCCAGGTAACCTTGAAGATGACATTGAGTTCATCTAACACGGGAATGACTCATTGATGATGTGTGATATACAGGGTGACTAACAACACGGCAGGCTATACAGCACGCGAGCATCACAGCGCCGTGAGTGCCACCTTCTCCGCCCACCTGCAAACCACTCCGAAATTATTATTTAAATGAAATTACGACGAACATAAAGCATGCATGCGTGGGGGATTTAACACGGCGTGCATCCGCCCCGTGTCGGCTATCAAACGACGACGACGATGACGACGACGACGATGACGATGACGACGACGTGACACGTGCCAGTACAGTGACTGCACAATTACTCAGCTCCTAGACAAAATTACCTACGAAACGAAATAGCAACGGCGTCGAAGGAACGCGTGAGACGCGGCATCCGCGCGCAAAAACGCGCGCATAATTCCTCTCCTAAACCTAATAACAGCATCGCACACACGCACGCACGCTTGCAGTCAACATCAGCAGTAAATGCGAACTACGGGGCCGTTAGATTAGGTTTTACGGCCGAGGTTTCGCGTCATCGTGTGTTCAGAACGATAGCACACAGTTCAAACGAAGCGTGTTTTTCAATCTCGCAGACGATTTTGTGCATTCGAATTTTCCACACGGCTATTTATCATCGCTACGGCTTCATTCCATGCTTGACATATATAAGTTGGAAATATAAGATGGCTACATTATTATGTTAAAATCCAACGTGCGTGTTAGAATTCCATGCAACTTTCTCGGTATTGTATCTAGCAGCACTATAAGAAAGGTCATCTTTGACGCTTTTAAAACGGTCTCCCGAATTACGTGCCGGCGATATAAACTTGAAACCTAAAATAAGCACCAATGGCTAGCTTTGTTCTTATCGCAAAAACACAAATCTGTGACCTTTGAGCAACTCACATTTAACTAATCTCGTCAGAATTATGTCCCCCGTGCGGAGAATACAGCTGGCCATGACTATGACAGCAGGTGGCGCCATCAACACCTCCCACTCACTGCCCAATTTCATCGCGAAATACGGCAAAAAAATATCCCGAAAAATAAGTTTCACAGCTCCCAACGAGTGTGAAATATCACAGCCAGGTCCCCGCGGACCGGCTACGCTGTACGCAGCCATGGCAACCGTCGCCGCGGCAACGTGCTGCAAGGATACTGGGTTTGTTGTAGCCGCGTGAGTTTAGCATGACCTCGGGCGCGCGGTACCAGCGCGTCACTACATACTCAGTGAGGAGGCAGCCCGACCAGTCAGGCTCAACAGCCCGCGACAGACCAAAGTCACAGATCTGTCAAAGACAGCAGCAGCAGCAGCAGACCTGTTACAAACAAGCACCCTACCCTGCTGAGCACAACTACACAGTAGCACACACACACAGAAGCTCACCTGCTGAGCATTGCTACACAATGACAGGCGAGGCGAGAAGCTTACCTGCTGAGCACAGGTATATAGTAACAGGTGAGATGAGAAGCTTACCTGCTGATCACAGGTATATAGTAACAGGTGAGATGAGAAGCTTACCTGCTGATCACAGGTATATAGTAACAGGTGAGATGAGAAGCTTACCTGCTGATCACAGGTATATAGTAACAGGTGAGATGAGAAGCTTACCTGCTGAGCACAGGTATATAGTAACAAGTGAGATGAGAAGCTTACCTGCTGATCACAGGTATATAGTAACAGGTGAGATGAGAAGCTTACCTGCTGAGCACAGGTATATAGTAACAAGTGAGATGAGAAGCTTACCTGCTAATCACAGGTATATAGTAACAGGTGAGATGAGAAGCTCACCTGCTGATCACAGGTATATAGTAACAGGTGAGATGAGCAGTTACCTGTTGACAACAGGTATATAGTAACAGGTGAGATGAGAAGCTTACCTGCTGATCACAGGTATATAGTAACAGGTGAGATGGAAAGCTTACCTGCTGATCACAGGTATATAGTAACAGGTGAGATGAGAAGCTCACCTGCTGATCACAGGTATACAGCTCAGCAGGTGAGACAAATGCTTACCTGTCGACCACACGTGTACAGCTCAGCAGGTGAGGAGATGGTGTGTGGTGTCGTGGGTGGTTGGGTGGTGTGTAATGGTGGTGGGTGGTGGGTGTGCGTGTTGCTGCTGCTGTGGTGTGCTGCTACTGCTCTGCTGCTGCTTGCTGCTACTGCTCATGCTGCTCTGCTGCTTGCTGCTACTGCTGCTGATGCTGCTACTGCTGCTCCTGCTACTGCCTACTGTTGCTGGCTGTGTACTGACTACTGTGTTGTGTTACGATCTGCTTGCTGGCCTGTCTGATGCTGCGCTGCTCGGTGCTGCTGGCTGCTAACTGCTGCTGTCGCTGCTACGCTAACTGCTGGCTTGGCTCCTGCTACTGCTGCTGCTAGTAGCTGCTACTGCTACTGCTGTTACTGACTGTATCTGCTGCTGATGCTGCTACTGCTGCTACTGCTGCCTACTGCTGGCTGCTGCTGCTACTACTGCTTGCTGCTTGCGTGCTGACTGCTGCTGCTGCTGCTGCTGCTGCTGCTACTGCTGCTGATGCTTGCTACTGCCTGCTGCTGTTACTGCTACTGGCTGCTTGCTAATCTCTGCTGTTACTGCTACGGCTGTGCGTTGCCTACGCTGCTGCTGATGCGATTGCGCTGCTTACTGCCTGTAACTGCCTACTGCCAACTGCTACTGCATACTGGCTACTGCTGATGCTGATGCTTGATGCTGCTGCTGCTTGTGCTGGCTGCTGGATGCTGCTGCTGATGCTGGGTGGATACTGCTGCTGATGCTGCTGATCGATTGCTGGCTGCCTGCTGCTGCTGATGCTGCTGCGTGCTGCTGCTTGCTGCCATGCTGCTTGCTGCTGCTGATGCGTGATGCTGCTGCGATGCTGCTGAGATGCTGCTGCTGCTGCTGCTGGCTGATTGCTGCTGTCTGCTGATGCTGCTACTGCTGCTGCTACTGCTGCTGCTGCTACGGCTACTGCCTGGCTGGCTACCTGGCTGGACACTTGCTGCTGCTTCGCTGCTCTACTGATGGGCTGCTACTGTTGCTGCTGCTGTTACTGCTACTGTTGCTGTGTCTTACCTGCCTGTTGGGTGATGTTGCTGCGCTTGTGCTGCTGCTGTACCTACTAACTACTGCTGGCTGGCTGCCGCTGCTGCTGCTGCTTGGCTGCTGCTACTACTACTGCTGCTGCCTGCTGCTGGTGCCTGCTGCTGCTGTTGGCTCTGTGTGATGCTGGCTACTGCTACTGCTGCTGCTACTGCTGCTGCTACTGCTGCTTTTACTGCTGCTGTACTGCTACGCTGCTGCTGGCTGCTGCTGTGCTGATGGCTGGATGCTGGCTACTGGCTACTGCTACTGCTACTGCTACTGCTACTTGCTACTGCTACTGCCTCTGCTACTGCTACTTGCTAGCTACGCTGCTGCGCTACTGCTGCCTGCTGCTTACTGCTACTGCTACTGCTGCATATACTGCTACTGCTGACTTGCTACTGCTACTGCTACTGCTGCTACAACTGCTGCTGCTACTGTACTGCTACTGTGCTACTACTGCTGCTGCTAACATCTACGTACTGCACTGGCTGCTACTACTGCTGCTGCTGCCTGCTGCCATTCAGTCAACGCGGCTTCGTCCGGGCAGCTAGATGCTTCTGGCATCGCGTCACTTGCAGGCGCAGAAGGGGACGACTGTAGTGGCAGCAAGCGACAACGGCAGTCAGAACAGTCTTGTAATGAGGATGTAATTTGATGCCAGAGTTGCGCTGATTTAGCAGGTGGTGTCGTTGAATGAAGCCGTGGTGTCACAAAGCAGTCCCTAATTACGGTTAAGTAGACACATGTAGCACCGGGCCATAGCAAGACACGATGCACACTAAATCGATACACACTATCCTGCACTTTAAAAATGCCTAGTGTTTATCGTGGCTATGGACTTGATTACTTCCATTAAAAATGTGTGTTCAGGAGGCAGCTGATTACATCCATATTTCCCTAACGATGTCTCGAGAGATCATAGTGATGCCATTGACAGCGCGTACAACTGGAACCAACATCAGCATGCACGCTTTCGCTCTAGTACACCTGGTGTAGGTTAACAGAGTGCTGATTAAACACCTGTGCGAGAGTGCGTCAACTCAGCGAATGTAATAACATCTGTGGTTAGCGTTGTGACCAGCGTATAGTGATTAACACCTGACTTGTTGTAGTGGTTGCCTCGACCAGGTAAGTTAGTTAAGCACCTAGTGGTTAAGTGGTTGCTTCTACAGTAAGTGAATTAACACCTGTGGTAGTGGTATGCCTCGACAGGTAAGTGATTAAATCACCTGTGTGGTTAGTGGTTGCTTTTCTACCAGGTAAGTGATTAACCCTGTGTGTTAGTGGTTGCTTCTACCAGGTAAATGATTAACACCTGTGTGCTAGTGGTTACTTCTACCAGGTTAAGTGAATTAACACCTGTGGTTAGTGTGTGCCTCGACGCAGGTAAGTGATTAACACCTGTGCGTTGTGGTTGCTTCTACCAGGTTAAGTAATTAACACCTGTGTGTTAGTGGTTGCTTCTACCAGGTAAGTAATTAACACCTGTGTGTTAGTGGTTGCCTCGACCAGGTAAGTGATTAACACCTGTGTGTTAGTGGTTCCTTCTACCAGGTAACCGGTAAGGAATTTACATCTGTGTGTTAGTAGTGCCTCCCCGGTAAATAATTAACACTGTTTATTGTTAGCTACCTCCTTTAGGCAGGTAGGTGATTAGTTATAATACCTGTGTATAATAACTGGGGGGTCGATTCATCGATGTATTGATGTTGGTGAGTCCAGTTGAATGTATAGTTTGCTGGGTAGTTTCTCTTGAAAGTGTCACAGTACATATCGCAAAGCGCTGTATCATGATAGCGGATCGTATTGTGAGCTCGCCTGTATCGTCCCGCCCGCCTAATTATGAAGTAGTTTTATTTCAAGGTCAGTTGATGTGAACTAGGTAGCTTTTATAGCAGATTGCTTACTGGCTGAGTTCATCTTTCACATGATGCAGATATGCATTTCATCTTTTCTTCATCGTCGTTTCATTTGTCAGATTCTTCGAGGGTTAAAGTACATCCACTCGGCTAATGTGCTGCATAGAGACCTGAAACCAAGCAACCGTGCTGCTGGAACACACACCTGTGATCTTAAGGTAGGCACAGTTACTCACCTCACCTGCCTGAACACCACCTGTGATCTTAAGGTAGGCAAGTTACTCACCTCACCTGCTGAACACCACCTGTGAGTCTAAGGTAGGCAAGTTACTCACCTCACCGCTGAACACCACCTGTGATCTTTAAAGCGGTTATTGCGAGATTTTTGCTCAGAAAAACTAAATAAAGCTGAATATAGTCTTACCTGACAGCGGAAATATCACTGATACAGCCAACATCAAAAATGGATTTGACCACATCGTAAGCAGCAATAAATTTTATCGTATGCCGATAATGCCTATGGCAGATTGGTAACTTGTATTTGTGTCCGTGATGAAGTTGAAAAACAAGTGCTTGACTGTACTGTGTTTATGGCAGATAAGCGGTGGCGCCACAAGCTAATCCATACTCCCTGTTAGTTCAAGATGACAGAAAGGAATGTTTACAAAAACGATTAGTTCGAAACTGGCAGTTTTCGGTGAATACGAAGTTCTAAGACATTTTATTGTTATCTAGACAATTGCTGTTACTCAAGCAATAACGGTAGTGCCATGAAAGTGGTGAAAACACTGGAAACTCTCGCAATGGTTACTTTAAGCTCACTCAGCCATGCTGAGGCTGGTGAGCGAGTG